TTGATTGGGATTGTTTGAGCAACTTACACAACCATCGAACTCTTGTCAATTGATTTTGAGTGGTTTTATCGAGATCAAAAGCGAATTGTACAAAAGCTTCTAATTCTGCGAATTGGGCCAATTCTAATTTTAATTTACCAGCTACTTGTTTCATGCTTTAATTCGAGCTGTAGATCCTACTCTGGAGACAGAAATATCCAAATTAATCACAGGTCTGATTCCAGCATTGAATAGATCGGCGGATAAGAATATTTAGCCATCTATAATGAAAATTACATTAGTAAGAATATAAGTTGAAAAATCTCCCGTGGGTCTCAACTATAGGTAAAGCAGTCATACTTCCTTCACTTAACTGATAACTTGATTTAGCGGTTCTTTCCAAATAGCGTGAATGTAAATAAAAAAATCTCCCGGATAAGCTTTGCGACCCCATAGTCTTCGTAATAGAAAAGATATTTGTCGATAAGTCTGTGCTTGTTCGGAGAGATCGTCATAAATGATTAAAGTGTGTTGTTCACGATACATAAATAGTTATATTTATATTTTAAACTCAATTCCATTCTAGCATTCCTCCACTACTTTGCTCCATATGGCCTCAAGAGAACCTATTTTTATATTTTATTTTAAACTCAAAATTTTTGTAAGGGGTTATTTAGCTGTAACTTTGTAAGCATAATTTAGGCGTGAATCAGTGAATTGAAATGAAAACAAGTTTGATGGAATTTGTCTTTAAATTGTAAGTTATAAGGATTGGAAATTTATTATTTAAAATATTATCTAATATGTTTGAAATAAGATACAAATATTTTTGTCTTGTTATATTTAGTACGATCTAGATATAAACGAAGGACATTATAACTGGTTATACAACCGAGGTCAACAAATGCAATATTAGTTATATAGGACCCTATGAGCACATTGAACGAAAATGGATCGTCCCAACAGCCAAACTAAATTGAGGACAATGCAGTCAATACTTTTTTGTCATATCTGATATACCACCTCTAATTCTTAATATAAAAGTTGATGAGTAGATTAAAAAAATTAGTTAAGTCAGTTATTTGCAATAAGTAGCTGTTATCTTTTTTAAAATATCCTTACTAATTATATGTATTAGTTATCTTTATCATTTGATAAAACATTTAATATGTACAACTACTATAAGAACTTTCTTGAAAAAATGGATAATATGAGAGATAAAGTAAACTGGGATCTTATATTTAGAATCAAATTAAAAATCAAACTAGTTCTTATATTAAACAGCAGGCAGAATTAATTTGATCATTATATTGAATAACAATGCTTGTATCCAGGAGATACATTTAGAACATGAAGTAGGACCGCATTACAAAGACGAACAAGTACACATGTTCAAGGATGGCAATCTGAACAGATGAAAAAAACTTGGAAGGCTGTAAATTATCACAAGATCAGAACCGGGGGGGAAAAAATAACACTAATCATAGGACTACGCAGGGTCTGGTCTTCTTTCTCCTTTTCCTTGTCTTAGGTGGCTGGAGCACAACCTTGATTGCAGCATCAAACACGGCCTTCACATTCTGAATATTAGGGCAAATACACGCTATCAAGCTCCAGCAGAATTCTTAGTTTACTACCAAGTTTCTAGTTCAAGTTGATGCCAGCTTTCTTAAGATCAGTCATCTTAATCTTTGTTATCATTTTGTCACACATTGAATCCTTAATTTATTACTAATAATCATGCTAATGAACTGTAAAAACTCATGATAAGAAAGAGAGTTCTGTAGAAATTTAGAGATATGAGTGAATGGAAAAAAGAAGAAAAAATGAACCTGCTGAGTTTTTGCGCTGCACTCTATGTATGAAGCAGCACCGATGGCCTTCTTCAGTTCTTCTCCCTGTTGAAAGATTACACAAGATTTATTTGTGAAATTAAGAGAAACTTTATTCATACTCCTAGAAGAAAAACTGTGTTAGCCTTAAAAAATTTGGAGGAACTTGCCTGGGCAGTAGTTATGGCTTAGCACCAGGATGATCGATCAAGTATTGCCTGTCTTCCCGCAAATCTGCAGTAATTACCACCATGTATAGTTGCATTACTACTTCAGATCACAAATTTGCAGCTTTAAACTGATACAAGTTTCAGTAAATTATAATTTTAGCTGAAAATACCGAGCTTGGTTCCCACAAGTATAACTGGCACATTTGGGGCATAGTGTCTCAGTTCAGGAATCCACTGCAAAACAAAACCCAGTGTCAGATTCTGTTATCTGGAAAAATGCTGTGTTTGGTGCATTTGAGGAGAACCTTTTTAGCGATGTTCTCATAGCTGGCTCTGCTGATGAGAGAGAAGGCAAGCAAAAACACATCTGCTCCTCTGTAGCTCAAAGGCCTAAGCCTGTTATAATCCTCCTGCCCTGAACCAATCAAGCAAATTTAGATCATGAAAGTGTGCTAAATCCCACGATTACCCACCTTACTTAAATTATGCTAACTTACCGGCAGTGTCCCATAATCCCAGGTTAACTGTGCTGCCATCAACCACCACATTTGCACTGAAGTTGTCAAAAACTGTTGGTACGTAGTCCTTTCCAAGGAGAAAATGTCCTTTTTATCAGACAAAACATTCAACTAAATTGACAAACAATCTCAAACAATGGAGTGTCATACCGTAGGGAAAGTGTTGCTGGTGTAGGAAATGAGCATGCAGGTCTTTCCGACAGCTCCATCCCCAACAGTGACACACTTGATAAACCTTGCTGTGTTCATTTCTAGAATCCTCTGTTTTCTGCACCTTACTTTACTGTTTTGCTGCTTCCATGACCAGAAGAATATCACTTTCACTTGAAAGTTTTGAAGTAGAACTACGAAAAGGAGAGGGGAGGGGGGATATTTAGAAAGAAAGAAAGAGAGAGGGGTTAGTTTGAATTTGAATAGGAATGGAGGGGGAGGATGGGTAGCATTTAATAAGATGAGCCCCAAAGCACCAACTTTAGTTTGTGTCTTTAATCTTTACCATTATTGCCTTTGGCTTTCTGTTTCTTTAAGGGGAAGGCCGTTGCTTTTATATGAGGAAAGAAGGCGTTTGGTGCTGCAATAGTGTCAGTTGGTTAAGTATTGTACAAGGCACAGACTGAATTATGAGTATTTAGAATATAAATATTGCTTGCCCAACAAAGAACTGGTGGCACAAAAGAGAACCAATAGAATCTGAACAAAATTGAAGAAGCATTATTTACAACAAGGAGGAACCAAGGAAAAAAAAGTTTGATGGTTTAAAAGGGAGGTTCACTAAGCATCATATCAATTTGAATTAACCAGTGTCATAATTAAGATGACAGAAACTGTGAATATAACGGAAAAACCATTCGTTTCCCAGTCACTATATTATCACAGTGATCTGGGCTTTAGTGGATTCATCTAACTTTATTGGGTGGTTGGTGTTATTAAGATCCATCATGTGTTTTATCACCAAAGCAAAGCTTTTCCCATAAAATAACCATTTACATATACTTTAATACATCGTAATATATTATGCAGTACCAACTGCAACTGTGAAGATTATCTTTCTTCCGTTTTTCTTTTTTTAATCTGCTAAACGGAGATCTGAATTTCAGGCCATCATTCATACGGAACAGGAAAACTGAAAGAGAACTTCCAATCTCACCCAATTAATTTGTGTTTCGATAGCATACACAAATTTCTATTTTAAACTTTATTAGTACGCCTAGATTAATAATGTCACTCACCTTCTTCTCTCTCCTCAATTTTCCTTTTCACTTTACACTTTCTTCGAGCTCTTGAAATTTGTGTTCAGGATCTTCTTTTGCTCTCAAGTGCTTGGCAGGCTCACATAAAAAGCTGGCTTTAACAGGTTAGTTGAGCTATTCATCATGTGTGTGAAGAATTAACTTGAATTACCAGACAATGGCTCCAAAAACGATGGCTTTAATATAATGATTAGTTTATATGGAATCCTATCTTTCGAGGTCCTTGATTTCTTCGAAGTTATCTCAGGACACCAACTTAGTCAATTTGCTTTTTAATCGAGAGTTGTGAATTATACAACTAAAATTTTAGGTTGATCCCTCTAATGCAATCTCTTTTTTTTTTTTGGGGTCAGAAATCCCTCTAATGCAATCTAGTTATTAGTGTAAGGAGTTTAGAGAAATTCTTTATCGTAATTTTTTTTATAGATTGAAAATTTCGGGGGCCAAATTTATAGATTTTAAATGAAGAATGCAAAATTAATAAATAAGATATAAATTTTAATTTTTAAGTTTTATTGTTTTAAATTGAAAGGATCAACATTTTTTATGTAAAAGTCTAAATATATCCAAATAAATTTTGAAATTTTTTACTGTCATATGATGAGGTGTTTTTTCCCTTCTGAAAGGAGAGACACTGATTAATTTAATTTCACTATTTTATTTTAAAAACGTAATATTTCACTTATCAAAAAGTTATAGTATTATGATATTTAGTTATTCACTAAAAAGATAAATTAACAGTTTCATCTCATGTCTTTTTTTGGGCCAAAAGTTTCATCTCATGTCAATAAATTATGTAATTGCAATTTTTAAACAACAATTTCACAGTAATTTTATAAACTGGTTCCTATCAAAGCGAGTGCATGGAAATTGAAAAATGATGGCAAATCTCATGCATTTGTACGACTTACACAAAGCAAAGTTACCGCTTTTAGTTTTCATATCCTATATTGATGATTTATAAGTTTATTATTTATAACAGTTACTGCTATTTTTCTATAAATTTTACAATTAGAGAAAATTTAGATACTTAAATTTATATATTAATTACACTGAAAATAAACATTTTAAAATTATAAATTTAAATACCTAAGTTATTTGTAAAATTCTAAACTCAGTATTATTACGATTAGTTTTTTGTCTTAAGAAAAAAAAATCATATGTCACCAAAAAAAATCATAACTGATAAATAATTCATACTTTTCACTGTTCAGGAAGACGTTCGCTTCGGTTTAGGTTGAAGATGAAGACCAAGTCAACACAACAGCAACAACGAACGCAGCTAAATATACATTGCCTCGCCTGGGAGATATGAGTGCAGACACCTCCGATATCCAGATGGGAACAACTAGCTTCGTCCATTTCATCTGCCCCTGTTTCCTCCTAGCTTCTGCAGCTTATTGCTTCTCATCCCCTCCTCTCGTTGGAGTTCATCCCCTAGGTATCTCTGGATATCCTTTGTCTTTATGTGGATTCTACCCTCCTTGCCTGAAACAAATAAAGTTTGAACCTTTTCAGTAGCGGGTGGGCACATTTAGCTATTATTGTAAATCTTGTGTCAAAGCTTTTAATTCGGTTATGTGGTTGCAGACGAAAAATATTATAGGTCGGAAGTGATCAAATGCAAGGACGGAACCAAATCTTTCCCCAGAGATCGTCTCAATGACAATTTTTGCGACTGCACTGATGGCACTGATGAGCCTGGTACCAGTCATAGTCCCTGAAAGAATAGCTTAAATGTGGAAGTTTGGGATATGGGTTATGCATATTGGGTATCAAATTAAATATTATGGTACTATCGAAGTGGATAAAAGGAAATATGAACTTAGCCTTTTCAGGTCATCAGGGGATTATGGAAGATTCTATTCATGTTTCCTAGCAGCCTTTGAAAATGATGGCTTTTACTTTTATGGTCGTGTTAATCCTAATTAGCTGTTCTTTGTCTGATTTCATATTTCAGAGATCATGAATCTGTGCTTTCATTACTTCTATGTCCAACGTAATACCTCATGAGTTCATGTGTTTTCTCTATTTTTGTCTACCGTTGATGCTTCAAAATGTGCTTGGTTCTTCCCTTCTGATTTTTTTTCCCGGTGAAGCTAAATTTTGACAAGAACGACTCCAGCAGGACTGCTATAGTGCTCCTGTTTAACTTAATTTTCGGCTTAATTATTAATACTTTCTATTATTATGTAATATTTAGGCACTGTCTGTTGCTGGTAGCTGGCGCGATTGTAGTTTTCTCACTATTTCATGTATAAACAGAGATAATATAAAACACGTTAAGCAAAAATCAGGCCTTTATATATTTATAAATTTATTAAATTTGCCTACCGTTTATTACTTGATTGTTGATAGCACAATGTTGTTTTACAATTACAGGAACATCTGCTTGTCCAACTGGAAAATTTTATTGTCGAAACTTAGGAAGCAGGCCACAGTTTATATTCTCTTCTCGTGTTAATGATAATTTTTGTGGTAAGCAAAGAAAGATCTCATTTATTAAATTTTATATTTTCTTCTCTTCTTCCCTCTTTCTTTTGTCCCGATTTACTTTTCCAGAGTTGCTACTTAAGGCCTATATTTTGTAGATCATTTTTTTTGTGATAGTTTTGTAAATCATTTTGTTCCCACCTAGAAGCATTGTGTTCTTGAGAATGATGGATAGTAAATGTCTTCCTTTTATATTTTATATGCTTTGCACAGGCAGTTTATTTCTTCTGTCTCTATTTCCTCACTCTGAAGTATCAATAAAGCTAAGTCATTAAGGGGATTTGACAAAAGATTTCTTGACAATTGTTGTTTTTATTCTTACTTTGAGTCTTAACCCAATTTAAACACATTGCCTAGGTGAGACTAAATTAGTATACTAATTTAAGTATAAAACTAGAAATGGTGTTTCACACAATCTGGTCTATCATGCTACTTGTTCAATATGCTCTCGTAATATCTAAATTGAAAACATATTAAATTGGAAAGGATTTTTCTTTTGCCTTCAAGTTCAAGTTCCAATTTTTTTCCAGTACTGCTGCAGATTGTTGTGATGGGAGTGATGAGTATGACGGCAGCATCCATTGTCCAAATACATGCGTCATGGGTGGAAATGTAGAATACAGGTCTGATCTAGTCTCTAGTGGGGCAAAAAAGACAGACGATGGAATGAAGTTGGAGGAATCAGTTTATAACCTTACTGGTAACTTTTTGTCCAAGAGAATTTCTACATACTTTTAACCTGTAAGTAAATATATCTTGAAAATTTTTTATTTCAGCCCTGAAGGTTGCTATTGTCCTTCAACTGGTTCTGGTTATTTTTGCTGTCGTTCTCTTCTGTTTCCGTTGCCGTAACAGATATAGAAGGACGCGTTACCATTGAACAGAGGTTGTTCTTGTTGTTTGCCCATTTTTACCCCAGGTAATATTCTAAAACACTTTTGCTCCATTTTCCTTTTTTCCCCGTGATCTTAAATCTTGTTCCATATATTTCCATATGAGCTGATGCCAGAATCATTTCATAAGTTGAGGACCTCCATGATACTAAATTTTCAAGGCAAGCAGCATGGGAAACATAAAGAAAGAAAGAAGCTCATCAACAACTTTATCAGTATTAGAATTTAGATCTTTGGGAAACGTGTATAAAAACCTGATCTGATGCAGGGTTTTTACTTTGAGATATGAAATGAATAACCTCGCCAATAATGCTATTCAGCTTGTTTAAATATCCCGATATCATTCAGGTCCTAGAGTTGAATTGATGAATATACATGGATAATTTTGTTTTACCACCATGATATTGCACTTCTCTTTGATCATGACGACCGTATCTCCAATTACTGTCATTTTTGTGTTTTTTTTTTTTTTACTATAAATTTTTATCTGCAATATGGATGGCATATGAGATAAATTAGTTATTGAATTGGCATATGCTGTATTATTGTTTTACCATTTTGATGGGACCGCTGGGCTATGGGGAAAGATCCACAAGGGAAGGGGAAGTTGGGTCGTAAGAAAACTCAAGGCCCACCTCATCAAGCAGAGGGGAAACAAGGAGCAGGCATAACGAATTGTTCTGTGGAATGTTCTTATGAACGGACAATCAAATGACGCGCTAGTATGTATAATCTGGATTTATTTATGCATATATCACTGTGTGTCCCGTATAATATCCAGATACAGCTCACAATATGTAATAACAGAAGCAGAGAATTAAGAGAAGAAGATGTCAGGGAGAAACAGAATTTCCAGAGGAGAGAAGAGGCTAGAAAGGAAATCAGAGATTAGTCACATATTCCACACCCTCCCCTCTCCCTCTAACGACTTATATTCCTCACTCCTGCCTAAGTTTCCACGTGAGCCTTTTCTCACGGTTACTGCGGCGTGGTCCCTCGTCCGCATGCATCTCGTCTGGCTCCTGGGTTGGGGCTGTTTCCTCTGTCATCTCTTGGCCCATAGTAACGGGTTGTCTTCCTTGGCCCATAACATCACTCCCCGGTGCGAAAGAGACCTTGTCCCCAAGGTCAAAAGCTGGATAAAGCTGCTGAAACTCAGTAACAGTCTCCCATGTTGGTGATGAAAGACTATCCCACTGAATTAAAACCTGTGGTACCACACGATCTCCTTGGTGAATGAAACGGGACTTCAGAGCAGCGACTGGTTGAACAATCGGGCCCTCTGGCTCAGACAGCAAAGGTAAGGGAACGTAAGTTCCATCCGGGGACCCGTTGTACGGTTTTAACATGGAGACATGAAAAACCGGATGGATCCTAGCGGTGTCCGGTAAGTGCAAGCGGTACGCAACTGCGCCAATCTTGTGAGTGACGGGGAATGGACCAAAGTAACGCATGCTTAGTTTCTGGTGCTTCCGTAAAGCGACGGAGTTTTGCCGATATGGTTGTAGTTTGACCAGCACCAAATCACCGACCTGAAAATGGCAATCAGTACGTTTGCGGTCAGCAAACCGTTTCATTCGCAATCGAGTCTTTTCCAGATTCATCTTCAACTGCTGTAAGATCGCGTCCCGACGCTGCACGCGGCTACAAACATCAGGGTCCATGTCAGAGGAGAACGAGGCAGGGATGATCGATGGGGGCTCCCGTCCATATAGAGCTTTAAAAGGAGTCATCCCGATCGCTGTGTGGTACGACGTGTTGTACCAGAATTCTGCCCAGGGAAGATAATCGAGCCAAAGGCGAGGAGAGTCAAAAACGAAGCACCTTAAGTACATCTCCAAACATTTATTTAAAGCCTCTGACTGGCCATCAGACTGAGGGTGGTATGCAGAGCTCATATGCAACTTTGTGCCGTGTAACTGGGTCAAGTGCCGCCAGAAAGCACTCAAAAAAACTTTATCTCGGTCGGACACAATAGTTTGAGGAAACCCATGTAACTTAACGACCGAATGAAGAAACGCTTCAGCCACATGCTGACTCGTGTAAGAATCCCGAAGTGGCATAAAATGGGCATATTTAGACAATCGATCAATTACTACAAAAATCACAGAGTATCCACGAACAACTGGCAAAGCAGTAATAAAGTCCATTGCAATGTCATCCCAAACCTGTGCGGGAATTGGCAATGGTGTCAAGAGGCCCGCAGGATGTGTTTGAAGACTTTTTGCTCGCTGGCAAATGGCACACTGTTTAATAAAGTCTTGAATATCATTACGCATGCGTGGCCAAAAGAAATAAGCAGCCATACGATGGTAAGTACGCAGGGTACCAGCATGGCCTCCCAGGGGTGAAGCATGGAATTCCAGTAGTAACCGGTTGATAATGTGTCGAGCAGAACTAGGAATAACCAATCGGTGTTGTTTGTATACCAGCCCATCACGGATTGTAAACCCCGAGGAAGCCGTAGGTTCTTGGACACATTTGGCGATCAACTCGTGGATCGCAGCATCCGTGCGTAAAGCAGCCATAATGTCTCCCATAAAAGAAGAGGAAACCCGGAGCATGGACATACAATCTATTCGGGATAAAGAGTCCGCAGCCCTATTCGTTTTGCCGGGTTTGTATTCAATGGTATAATCATACCCCAATAACTTTGGTAAGAAAGATTCCTGTTCAGGAGTTTGCAGAACCTGATCGCTGAGGTGTTTGAGACTCTGCTGGTCGGTGCGAATCACAAAGCGGTGACCAAACAAGTAGTGCCGAAATTTAGCGACAGCCTGGGTAATAGCATGTAATTCACGGACGTATGCAGACTGAGTCTGAAGCCGGTGAGACAATTGCTTGGAAAAGAAAGCAATAGGGTGATTGTTTTGACTCAGGACAGCCCCAATTCCTTTACCAGATGCATCAGTCTCCAAAACAAATGGTTGGGAAAAATCGGGTAGGACGAGCGTTGGGGCGGTAGTCAGAGCAGACTTTAAATTGTCAAAAGCCAGCTGGGTCTCATCTGTCCATACAAAGGAATCCTTCTGTAACAATTTAGTCAGTGGGCTAGCCAAGTCAGCGTAATGGCGAATAAAACGCCGATAGTACCCTGAAAGGCCCAAAAACCCCTTCAACTGAGTCACTGTGCGAGGTGTGGGCCAGTGTTGAATCGCAGCCACCTTTGTGTCATCCATATCAACTCCCTTGTTCGAAATGACATGCCCCAAATAATCCACAGAAGTACGGCCAAAAGAGCATTTAGAGAGTTTTGCAAAAAAACGATGAGTAGTCATCAGTTTCAGTACCTCTTCCACATGATCGAGGTGTTGTTGCCAGTTGTTACTATAAATAAGAATATCATCAAAGAAAATTAACACAAACTTACGTAGAAAGGGCCGGAAAACAGAGTTCATAAGGGCCTGAAACGTAGCTGGTGCATTAGTTAGACCGAACGGCATGACAAGCCACTCATAGAGCCCATGATGTGTTCGGAACGCTGTTTTCTCGCGATCAGCCGCATGCATCAAAACTTGGTGGTAACCGGAACGCAAGTCCAGCTTAGAATAATAAGAGGAACCCCCTAATTCATCCAATAATTCGTCAACCGTAGGCATAGGAAAGGAGTCCTTCACAGTGACAGCATTAAGAGCTCTGTAATCGACACAAAACCTCCATGTCCCATCCTTCTTCTTTACCAATATAACCGGGGCAGAGAACGGGCTGTTACTAGGTTGAATGAGACCCTCATGCAACAATTCCTCAACCATCTTTTCAATTTCAGTTTTCTGACTGAAAGGGTAACGATAGGGACGTACCTTGACAGGGCTAACCCCGTCTTGTAATGGAATACGATGCTCATGGTCACGTGGTGGTGGCAAGCCAGTCGGCTTCACAAAGACGCTTTTATAAGCACGCAACAGAGTCTGCATATCCGCAGGAATATCATCCGGTAAGTCTAAAGCTGTATCATCCTGAATGGTTAAATGCATCATGAACAACTCGGAAACGGCATCCATATGGACCAATCGTTGGAGCTGATGAACTCGGCGCGAGCAACAGTGGTGGGTGGTGTCCCTTGTAATGTAACAAACGCGCCATTGTTAAAGAACTTAATCTTCGAATTTCCGATGGTGTAGTCGGCGACATGTGGCCCCAAAGTCGCAAGCCAGGACGCCCCAATGACAACATCCGAGCCCGCTATCGGTAGGACGTAAGCAGGGAGTTCAATAATGTGACCCTGAATTTGGATGGGTAGCGCACGGATCATACCTTCACCCTTCATGGCATGACCATCGCCAATCATGACTCTGACGTTGCCGACAGCCTCAACAGGAAGCTTCAAATGTTTCACAATCCTTGGGTGCACAAAGCTATCGGAACTACCCCCATCCAGCAGAACCTGAACCGTGGAGCCGTGAATGGACCCCTGGAAACGAATGGTAGCCTTCCCCTGCTGACCTTGAAATGCGTGGAGGGACAAATGATGCACGCTGGCGATATCTTCTGTCACGCTTTCGGAAGGTTGGGCAGATTGCTCAGAGGTCGGGTTGTTCTCCTCTTCACACTCCATGAGCATGTACTGCTTGTTAGGGCAACGATGGGTGGGGAAAACTTCTCATCACACGTGTAACAGAGCCCTTTTTCTCGTCGAATGAGCATTTCTGCCGGGGACATTTTCTTAATTGTGGGCGACGGTTTCATCGCAGGTGTCGGTAGTAGAGGTGGGAGAGAGTTCTTTGCAAGCGGCGCTGTGGTTGGGGGATTGAGGGGTCTCGAATACCCCCCGGACCGAGATGAACCCGGAAGGGAAAACTTAGTTGGACCCACTGTGGGCCCAATTTGCACATCAAACAGTTTGGCTAATTCAACGGCTCGCATCAAGCTATATGGTTTCTGGCCCACCACATAACGACGGGCGTCCGGTTTCAACCCACCTGTGAAGCAGTCCAACAAGGCGTCTGCCGAGACTCCCTCTGTTCGATTAGCCAACACTAAGAATTCCCGACAGTAATCATCGGCGGCCCCGGTCTGCATTAATTTAAATAAGCGCACTCGAGGTTGATCATACGGCGAAGGACCATATTCGTCTTCTATCGCTCTGACCAGTGAAGCCCAGTTACTAATCAATCCCGTGTTTTTTGTTGCATCTGGAACCATGGAATGACCTCCCCTTCAAAATTCACCGAGGCGATAAGAATGCGTTGAATATCAGGAGTATGGTAATATGAAAAGTACTGTTCAGCTCGAAAAATCCAGGTAGTGGGATCGGTGCCACTGAATTTTGGAAAGTCCAGTTTGAGCGGTTTGGAAGTGCCGGAATACGAACTCCAATGGGAGCACTCCCACCCTGGGGTCCCTCGTCACACCTCTCCGACCC